CATCAAGAGCAACCCAAAGCTTCGATTGAATCAAGGTAAGGGTGAGAAACATTATTATTTAATCCATGTGTATGATTATGTATGTGTTGTATGGATTGTTGGGTGTTCCCCTACACTTTTCATTTCTAGGTCGAAAATGATTTAATCGGTAGAAATGATGTTTTATCGGTTAGAATCGAGAATGGATGGAGTAGTTTAGTCGGGTAACGTTGGGCTAAGTCTACTGGGGTTGATTGGCATTTGAATCGGTTGGTTTGTGAGATTGGGGCTTTTGGACAGCCATGGAAGTTCTGGTTACGCAGGTTCTCCAGGCGAGCAGCAGCGAGGCTTCGCCAAGCAAAGCCCAGCGAGCGGCAGCGAACACAAACAGAAGCAAACACCTAGTCTTCGCTGGCAAGTTCGCCAAGCGAAGGGGGAATGGCGAAGGTTCGCCAGACGAGTGTTCCAGCGAGTGCTAGCGAATAATTACAGTAGCTCCCAGTGGTCTTCGCCAGCGAGTTCGCCAGGAGAATGTGGCAGCGAGCATTCGACAGATGCTTCACCAGGCGAAGGTTGGCGAATGCGACATCATTTTCCTGATTTTTGTGTTTTCCTTTCCAACGTGGATTGCTTGGTTTGGTTACGTTGAATAGTTTTGTGTGTCGTGTGGTACGTTATGTTGTGGGTAGCCGGAAGGCATGAATCCTAGAAATTGGTTTTAATTATGAAGTTGTCGCCGTTAGGCAATTTTGTGCATTTGCTCGAATCGAATAGAAATGCATTATGACATTGATTATGAATGTAAACCATGTGTGAAATGGTGTGAAATGAATGATGAATATATATATATATATATATATATATATATATATATATATATATATATATATATATATATATATATATATATATATATATATATATATATATATATATATATATATATATATATATATATATATATATATATATATATATATATATATATATATATATATATATATATATATATATATATATATATATATATATATATATATATTGTGAATGCATAATGAATATATGCGATGTAAGTGACAAATGCATGAGTATGTTTGTGAAGCATCATGGTATGCCTTCTTGTGTTGATTGATCCCTCGGAGGATCTGCAGAACCTCGTGTGTCCATGTGGGGTGTGAGCGATGGTTATATTGATCCCTCGGAGGATTTGCAGAACCTCGTATGATGCGATGGTTATAATTGATTCCACAGAGAATCTGCAGAACGATTGTGTGTCCATGAGGGGTGTGAGCAATCCATAAACATTGTGTGTCCATGTGGGTGTGAGCAATGGGTGAACATTGTAGGCCTGACGGGGAGTTACTTCGGTAACGAGCGATGGTTCCATTTGATTCCTCGGAGAATCTGTTGAATATTATGATTCCTCAGAGAATCTGTTGAATATTATGATTCCTCGGAGAATCTGCTGAATATTATGATTCCTTGGAGAATCTGCTGAATGAGTCGGTACCCGCGTTTGCATCTGCATAGAGTCGTGCGTCGGTCTCTATGAGTTGCATTTATCATTGTTGCCATTGTGCATTGGGAAATAAACATGAATGTAGATGTTTATGTGAATTGGTGATGAAATAAACATAATATGTGTATGTTTATGTGGATTGTGATGAGAGGCATGATATAATATGTTAAGTGATATATATATATATATATATATATATATATATATATATATATATATATATATATATATATATATATATATATATATATATATATATATATATATATATATATATATATATATATATATATATATATATATATATATATATATATATATATATATATATATATATATATATATATATATATATATATATATATATATGAGTAGATATATGTATATGTTGACGTTTATGTGAATCGGTGTTGAAATGACTATATTGTGTGTGTTGCTTGATAAATGTTGTTAATGCAATTATATGTAAAGAATGCATGAAATTATATTATGAACCTATGTGCATTGCTTAGTAAAATGTGATGATGATGTTGAAAATAATGGATGCGTGTAAGGCTCGTGAACACTGGGGTAGAATGACGTGATGTCGTTCCTAGTGGAGCAACCACCGGGCTAGAACAACTGTGGTGTTGTTCCTGGTGAGGATTAGTTATATAGTCGCATACACTGGGGTAGAATGACATGATGTCGTTCCTAGTGGGGTGATCACCGGGGTAGAATAACTGTGATGTTGTTCCTGGTGGGGTATAAGTGATGTACCCATAATCCCATACGGGAATTGGTAGAATTGTTGGGCTTTATGTGAGCCGTATGGCATGGATAGAATTGTTGATTACAGTTATGCTTATGTGTATGTACATGACTTATGTAATTGAAAATGATGAATATGTGATTTGTTAGGAGAAGTGTGCGTATATGCATGATATGTTGATTTAAGAGTGGTGAGTATATGGAAGTTGTATGAAAGTATGCTATGTGCATGACTATAGTGTTTTGAATAAGTTGTGAACATGTAATTGATGTATGCAAATGTGCTTATGTGTATGAAAATGTGTAATAATGAAGACTATGGATATGTACATGATAACATGCTTGATGATTAACCATATTGGTTTATATGAATATGTAAATTGAGAATTATGTGTTAGGTGATAATGAAATGTGGTGAGAAATGCAGAGTATGTGTATTTTATGACTGTTTATATACGTAACTATATGCATTGATTATTATGATAATATTTCTCACCCTTCTGCTGGAATGATGTCCTATATGACATCATGCAGGTTTGAGTAGAGCTGTTTGTAGTTGCGAAGTCGCTATTGGTGCAGCCTTTAGCATTTTATTTATGTTGGGTCGAGTCATGCTCTAGTCATGTAACACTGGGATCGTTTGGTTTATGTTTAAGAGTTACATTATGTATTCGAAGTTTTGTTTTATATTCGTGGAATATTGAAGTTGGTCTCAGTGCCCGAGTGTTGTTGATTTATGTGATGAAAACAAATATTTCTTTTATGAAAGATTATTGGATAAATGAATCCGCTGCTACATGCAAAGTGAAAATTTGTAAAACATGATTATTTATTGAAGTGTTATTGAGCATGACAGGTGTTTTGAAATTTTAAGTGTGACACCCTTAGTTGAATGCATGTTAATTTTACTCTGATTATTATTTTAATTTGCGGGGTTAGAAGGGTGTTACAATTAGCCGTACACACTAATATGAGATTTCGTTTTTTGCAAGGGATTCGAAGCAATGGATAAATAACAACATGCAAATAATATGAAGTGGGACAATAATGATGATTGTAAGGTCTTTTGGGCTACCGCATCTCATAGTTTATGGAGTTGGCATAAATAAAGAGATTCATGATGATAATTATGCCAGACCAACGAGCATGATGATCACACATACTAGCAGGTTCAAGAATACGATCAAGCAAAAACTCCAACTATCATAAGCAGGACTCAACATAAGGATTTGACACTTATAAAGTGGAAGACACCTAGTATGAAAAGTGTGAAGTTGAACACATATGAGACAAGAGACTATAGAGGGAATGCAGGATGCAGAAGAATTATTAGAGTCAATGAGGAAAACTAACTTGGGGTTTTGTGAAGAATATTAGAGTTTAGAATGTGTATAAACAGAACTCTTGGAAGTGTATAAAGATCTGCAGTTTGCAAATAGATTGAGATTCAACAAAATTGATATTTATGTTGACTCTAAACAAGTGATTACAAATATAAATCCTAGTAATTCTAGCAATATCATGGGAAGGAAGTTCATCACAAAGATAAGATATCTTTTCCAACACGATAAGGATATTTAAATCATACATGTCAACCGCGAAGCAAACCTGTGTGTAGATGCTCTAGCAAAAAACAAAATTTTAAATATTTTTTGTATTTTTAATTCTTGTCCGTCTATCATCGAACACGTATCTAAAAATAATTTATTAGAGATTCTTACACCTAAATTAATCTCGGTGTAATTCTCTTTGAGAATAAGCCCAATAAATAAATAAAAAGTTACATTTATAAAAGTAAATGGAAGTTTTAAAATTATGTCTTGTCTTTTCGATTGAAAATATAGCATTTACAGAGATAATAAGACTAGGTGTGTTTTTTGAGCGAGAAGAAAAAAAGTACAAGATACAAAGTGTGTTTGATTTTAAGTTTGAAATTGACTTTGCCTTCAAAATTCATTCGGTCTAATAAAAAAAGCGTGTTTAAAGAGGGAATATGATCCTCTACTTAGTGACTTGACTTGAGACATGTTCATGAAAAAGTAAACAAAAGAAGAAAAAAAAAAAAGAGAAATTTGATAAAGGGAAAATTAGAGGGAATTTCCCTCTTCAAAGTCAAATGATCTCAGCCCCGTTAAAAAAGTCGATTTTGAAGCAAAAGAGATTCTATTCTTCCTTCGTCATTTTAAAGGTACCCCTCTTCTAAAACAACATTCATCCAAACGTTTATGTTTAAATTTTCCTTTAAACTTGAACTCAAATTACTACTATCAAAACATAAAATACTTTACTTTATAATAAGTTAACTCAAATCATCAATTCCAGAAAATCAAGTTCACCTAAGTTTATCATAAACGTGTTACAACACACTAAAGCTGATAACAATATAAAAAAGGAATGATGTATATACAACAAACATATAATATTTGTCAATATATTCACAAAAAGAAAAACCTTATCAAAACAAAATTATCCAAAAATAGCTGCTAAAAACAAATTAATCAACTTATTTATTAAATAAAATTTATCGTCTAATAACATGCATCTCTCCTGACCGTTGATCAACATGCCTAATCCATCTCTTCCCACTCCGACCACGACCATCTTTTCCCAAATTACCCCCAACCGCCGAAACATGTGCCATATCAAGTCCTTTCCCCACCGGAAGAAACACCGATCTAACAACCCGTCGTGATCGCGACCTTGATCCTCCTTCTTCTTCCGACAACATTCTCCCATTTGAAATTCCCACTTCTCAAATTCGCATTCTTGCAAACCAAAACCGCTCCTTCACACTCAACTTCGCCACCTTCAAAACCCTCGAGAAATCGTTACTTCCCTTGCAATCCACCACCATGAAATCTATCTCTTCGACGAACCTTTCCATGACTTCTTCTGGTTCTCCGACAATGATTTCCGTCGAAGCTCCGGTTTCTCCTATTCTGTCAGAGTATTCCAATCTTGATCTCTCGTTTGAGACTATGCACACGTGTCTCCCACTCGTGTGTTTTCTCGCTACCGCTAAACCTATGCTTGTTTCGATTACACCTCCCCCCGACCATGTTTCTACTATCACCTTCGCGTTCCATCCTGCCGCCATGGCTGAAATAAGCTCCGCTACGCCTGATCCGCGTAAAACCTTACACTGAAACAAATCAAAAAAGTTAGTCAAATTCAACATTGAAAATTCATGCATGTATGTATATATACGTATGTCGCTTACAGATTGTACTGTGTCGATGTATGCTTTAGATGCTGTTTCAGGAGACCAAACAAGTTTCATTTTTCTTCAGATGATGTTTTTGTTTATGTTTATGGTTTGTTGTGGGGTTTGAAGATTGTGGGAAGAAATGAGATATAAGAGTGTGGAAGGTATTTATTAACGCGGTAGGAACGAGTTTTCTAGAGAGATAGAGAGAGAGAGAGAGAGAAAAAAAGGAGAGTTGAAGTTAATTTATTTATTCCGCGCCAAATCCAACGTGTTGGTGATAGTATTTGGATAAACTTGGTTACTTGTTTTTTTGTTCAAACTCTTTCTTTGACGATTTGTTTGTAATGCTGTCACGTTACCATCACTTTCTCTCTCTTAGTCATGTGTTTACATGCAACCATGTATTACCAAGCTATGTCCTTTTTTGAAACAATCAACCTACCTATGTTACTCTTTGATACAACTTTTTGTAATATTTCTTTTGTCTTAAATATTAATTTTCTACATTTTTTTTTATTTTTTATTTTTTTATTTTTTATTGATATTGTTAGTTTGCTTTAAAATATAAAAGGACAATATTAAATATATTTAAATACAAAAGTTAATTTATTAATAAACCAACATAAGTTATATAAATTAATTATATTACTATTTTTACTATAAAAAAAATCAAATTAGTCGGGTGAAATTCACTTCGTAAATGCAAATATCACCGTGCAATATAACTTTTGCGAGGTGTACCAAATACTCCGAAAAACGATAGTCGCAACAAATTGCAAGGAGAAAATTACTCAGCAAGTTAGTCAAGTGTATTTTACCTCTCAAGGTTGCCAGATGAAATTCATCTCGCAACACCTTTCCAAAAAAAGGCAGAAACTTATGAGGTGAATTTCACCTGACTAATTTGAATATTCAAAATTTTGCTAAATGAATTTCACCTGCTAAACTTTGAATATTCAAAAGTTTGTTGAGTGAATTTTATCCGGCAAAATTTTTAAATTTATCAAATAAAATACACCACGCAAACTATAAATAATATAAAAAAATGATATATTTATATTATTACAAATATTAATTTTAATATTTATAATAATATAAATATAATAAATAATTTTAATTTAAAAATTAATATAAAATGTTAAATTCATAAATAATTAAAAATATTTAAATTCATTATCTTTCCTGCTCGACACTTATGTTTTCCACCACCATATTGTTGTTGAAATATTTGTTGCATTTGTTGTTGTATTTGTTCTTGTATTTGTTGTTGTGTACGCATTATTTGCTCTTGTGAAATTCTCAATGCTTCTTCTAACTCAATTTGTTTTCTTCTCATTTCTTCTAATTCAACATTTTTGCAGCTTCACGTGTTGGTTCACTTTGAGCTTACTGTCTAATAGTTTCAACCATTTGAGGGGTTAATGTCGGAGGACGTAAAAACCCTTCTCCGTCCGCAATTTTCTTAAGTAAAGAAAACCTATCCCTTTTTTTTTGTAGTTTTCAGCTAAAGGTCCAGTAGCATAAATTTTCTCATTTTTATTCTTTTCCTTACTTGCTTCCAACCAAAGATATTGATCAACAACGGGATCAATAGGATGTTGCCCCCCATGGACCACCTAACTCAGGATGTTGAGACAAAAAATTTGTCTTCAGTCTTTGGTACTCCGCCTACACATACGTAAAAAAATTAAATTAAATAATAAATTTTAGGAAATTAATTTAAATAAAAAAAATTAAATATAACATTTAAATATCAATATCATCTTACTTGAGTATTTCTCGCACGTTCGTCGTTTTACTCTCCATCTCTTTCTTGATAAGTCCTCTCATTTCTTAAAAAACAAGAAAGTTAGTAATTAAAAAATTAAAAAACAAAAAAGTTAGTAATTAAAAAATTAATTGCTTAAAGAAAATATTATACTCGAAATTTGTCAAACCATTTTTTATACTCCTCATAATTCTTCTTCACAAGTTGTCCAAAAGACTTCCGAGATTGTTTATATAACTCTTGAATAACTTCTTTTATGCTAACTGCAGCAGGCCTACTTGGCCAGAAACTAAATAACAATAATTTGAATAAGTACTAATTAAATTTAAAAAATGAAAACATTTGCATATGCTTAAAATATAAGAAAGAAACTTACGAGTTTCTAACAGGCCTAATAATCCATCTTCCCTCAAACTTCTCATGTTGAACTTCCATTGCAGCCACATCCACGTCCTCAATGTTTTCCTCCTCCTCCTGATCAGACAATACATAGTCATTCGGCTCTGATGGACTAATGTGGGTACATATGAGGTGCGTGACCCCCTCGGGTGATGGGACGATGAGGATCTATGTGGAGAATGTGAGATGCGTGAGCCCCTAGGGTGATGGGATGACGAGGATCCACGTGGGAGATGTGGGACGCGGGATCCCTTAGGCTCGGGCTAATGGGATGATGAGGGTCCAGATGGGGGATATGGGATGCTAGATACCCCAGACTGCCTGTATGGTGGGGGTATGTCTAATGGTGATACATATGTAGGCAGAAATGATGTGGGTATAAAAAATCCTGGTGAACCATCATGTGAAATGAGTAATGAAGTGTAATATCTATGAGATGGAGAAGTGCTCATAAGCTGGAGCATAGTCTACTGAACCCCCTGACTAAACTGAAGCATAGTCTGCTGAACCTACTATTTATAAAATAATAATGTTATTATAAAATTACGTCACAGTACAATTGTAAAAACATATTATAACTATCATGTAAGAACAATATATTAGCAAATCCTTCAATAAATTTCCGATAATAGCCAGCTAAACCAAGAAAACTTCTGATCTCAAAGCTGATTTCGGAGTCTCCCATTGCGACACCACTTCAACCTTCGACGGATCCACCGCGATACCTTTACTTGAAATGACATGACCAAGGAAACTCACTTCCTTCAACCAAAATTCACACTTAGAAAGTTTCACATACAACTGCTTCTCTCTCAACATAGATAACACAATCCTCAGATGTTCGACATGCTCTTCTTCACTCTTCGAATAAACCAGGATATCATCAATGAACACCACCACAAACTTGTCTAAATAAGGATGGAAAATCCTATTCATGTACTCCATAAATACACCTGGCGCATTAGTCACACCAAATGGCATTACAGAATACTCATAGTGTCCATACCTCGTCCTAAAAGCAGTCTTCTGAATATCCTCAGCCTTCACACGAATCTGATGATACCCAGACCTCAAGTTATCTTTCTGAACACACTTGCACCAACCAAATGATCCTTCAGATCATCAATCCTCGGAAGTGGATGCTTATTCTTAATAGTCACCTTGTTCAACTGTCTGTAATCCACACAGAGTCTCATAGAACCTTCCTTTTTCTTAACCAACAACACAGGCGCACCCCACAGTGACACACTTGGGCGAATAAACCTCTTCTTAAGAAAATCTTCAAGTTGACTCTTCAACTCTTTCAATTCTGATGCGGACATACGATATGGAGCTATCGATATCGGACTAGTTCCGGGAATTAATTCTATCGAAAACTCCACTTCTCACTCCGGCGGTAAATCTCTTATCTCATCAGGAAAAACTTCCGGAAAGTCTCGAACAATTGGTAAGGCATCAACTTCTTCACTTTCACCAATTCTCAAAGTTGCCATCAGCATAAATACCTTTGCACCATCTAGCACTGATTCTTTCACTTGCTTCGCCGTCATAAACAAATCTCTTTCATCGTCCGATTCGGGAAAAATAACCGTTTTATCAAAACAGTTAATATACACATGGTTGAATCCTAACCAATTCATCCCAAGGATAACATCAAGCTACTGACTTCATTTGCTACCTGCTCGCTACAACGAGCTTCCCAGCGAACCATTCACTATCTCTTCGCTACACATTTGCTACTAGCGAACACACCAAAATCCATTATGTCCAAGTCTGGGACCATTCGCTACTTGTTCGCTGAGCGAGCTCCTAGCGAGCGCTCGCGACCTGCTCGCCTAGCGAGCTGCTAGCGAGTGTCTCCATATTTTGTTTTTCACTTACTGTTATCCAACTCAACCAACTCCAAAAACTCCAAATCTCACCAATCCAAGTCCAATACTCTTAGTCTAACATTTCTAGACTATTCTTCATCATCTATTTCAGATTCTAACCGATTAAATTGAGGTCTACCGATTAAATCCAACTTTGTCCTAAAGTGGAAAAATGGTGGAAAACATTCAACAATCTTACCCAATCATACATAATCATATACATTGATCAAATAATAATGCTTCTCACCCTTACCTTGATTGGATTGAAGCTTTGGGTTGATCTTGATCTCTTCCAAGCTTTTCCTCTTCTCTTTTCTCTTTTCTCCTCTTTCTCCTTCTTTCTCTTTTCTTTCCACAATGTTTCTATTCTTTTCTTTTCTTTTCCACTTTCCTTATATATATCTCTTATTTCCTTCCTTTCTAATTCTTTCCTCAATTATCTACCAATAATTCCAAATCATTAAAATAAATTCTAATAAATCAATTAATTAATGTAATTTGGGCTGTTACAACCCTCCCCCACTTTAGGAATTTTCGTCCTCGAAAATGTTACCTGATTCAAACAACTCTGGATAAGACTCCTTCATCTGGCTCTCAAGTAACATTTCCACCAGCCGGTCCTCTCCAAGCAACCTTCACCAAAGCAATCTCCTTACCCCGAAGTTGCTTCAACTCCCGGTCCTCTATCCACATAGGTGATGTCTCAACAGTCAGGTTATCTCTCACCTGCACATCATCTACTTGGACTACATGAGATGGATCCGCAATGTATTTCCTCAACTGAGATACATGGAATACGTCATGGAGATTAGCAAGCGACGGGGGTAAAGCCACGTGATAGGCCACTTCTCATATCCTCTGCAAAATCTGATAAGGACCAATGAAACGCGACGACAACTTGCGCGACTTCAATGCCCTACCAACACCAGTCATCGTAGTGACTCTAAGAAACACATGATCTCCCTCTTTAAATTCAAGTGCCTTCCTCCTCTTGTCATGATAACTCTTCTGACGACTCTGAGCAATCCTCATAT